CGCTGTTTATTTTGGGTGGTTTCTGAATAGTGTCTGGGTCTTGACCCAGAGTACTCTGCTTTTTTTAGTGCTGAGAAACGAGGGTTGAGCATTGTTTCTAAGACGAATGACTCAACTCTTTTGGTTGATTTATTCTGAGGGAGGTTCAGACAAAAAAACTAGACATTGTTTCTAAGATGAATGGTCTAAGTCTGAGGCAACATGCTTATAATGTGAAGAAAGGAATATGACTTTCTATATTTCTATATTTATATGTTTATAAGAACAACGCTAGCCATACATTGTTTCTAAGATGAATGGTCTGAGTATAGCCCTATTACAAATAAAAAGAGTATAACTAGGAGTTATAGCTGAAGGTAACTCGGGCCGGCAGAGCATTGTTTCTAAGATGAATGGCTCAGTCACACGCCCACTTTTGAAGATTAAGTTCAGATAAGTATATATAACTTGGATATTTAAACAGATCAGGGTGACTAAGCATTGTTTCTAAGACGAATGACTTAGTCATATACCCATGTGTAACACTTCGTACGACATATAGGGGGTTTATCGTACGATCGTACGTACGGCCGTATGTACAGTCCCGTACGAAAAGAAAAAAAAAAATTGTTTTGTTTCTTATCTCAAATTTGGTAATGAATTTTAATATGACCCTGAGACAAAAATGTTTCAGCTTACTTTTTTGCATTACATTTTTTTTTTTCAGAATTTTTTTTTTTTTTTTTTTTTTTTAACGTTCGGCCCGTACGACCACATGAGCTCTTACGTACGGTCTGTACGACCACATGAGTCCATACGTACGGTCGTACGTACGTACGTACGTACGACCCGTATTCGTATGGGGGTCTACATAGATATGCCCACTGAAGAGAAAAGTAGTTGTGCAACCTCTTCGAGTATAACTAAGACAAATAGTTGGCATTGTTTCTAAGATGAATGACCTAACTCGATGCTCTATGTAAGCTAGGTATTAAGGGATAAATCATTGAAAGATTATGAACTATTATTTGCCAAAGGTGATTAGGGTTGGTGAGACTACTTACCTTTGTGGTTTGGCCTTGCATGTGGCTGAGTGAGATCACTACTTAGTCTGAAGTTCAGTTTAATAGGTAGTTGCTTAAGAGGCTAGCCACGTGCTAGAGCGGTAAGAGTTAGTTCAAATTTCTGCATTTTCTTAGCTAACTTTATTTTACTTAGATCAATTTTTGTATTTTTCTCAGATCATTTATTATACTTTGGCTTGTACAAATCTTGGTGAGCCACTTTCCCTATGAGAAGTGAAGAAGCGCTACCGAAATTTTTACAAATCCAAGGAGTTAGTCAAATTTTGACTTTTCAAAATTCAAATTGCCTAAGTTATGTACATGACTTAGTAAAAATATGAAAAGTCTCATTTTCTAAAGGTAGTGCTGCCCAAATTTTTACTAATTCAAGAAGTCGAGCAAAAATTGGACTGTGAAAGGTCACAGTTATTTTCAAATTCTGAACTTAGCTTTGTATGAATTTTGAAAAAGCGTCTTTCTAAGGGAGTGCTGCCCAAATTTTTGCTAATTCAGGGAGTTAGAAAAAATTTGACTTTGGAAGGACGTGTATTATTTCTGTTTTCATATTTAGCCTGATATAAATTCTGGAAAGACACTTTTCCTACGGGAAGCGCTGCTGAAATTTTATTAGTTTAGAGGAGATAGATTATATTTTGACAGGTGACGACTCTGACGATTCACTCTGTATGGGAGAGATTATGTCATAGGTCTACATTTCTTTGGGCACTGGCTTAGAGATAGGCCTAGGCGCGGCTGTCAGGAAAGTCTTGAGTGAGAACGTGTCATGGGGATCTGTTCTCCTTATATTGACCTTTTAGGTTGGGCATTGACCTCTCTTATGATACATGCCTTCTTGGGACATTCGATCAAGGATTTGGACTAGCTTTGGCTTGATCCTACAAGGATTATGTTCTGTTATCACTGATAACATGTCGGTTGGTTGATCACTGACTTGTCGGCACACAACTTTGCTTATACCTGTACCTCAACTTGATTGTCTTAGCCCTGTGATTTGATATGTTTCTTTGAGGGTTTTAACAGGACTTCTTTTAAATGACCATTATAAAAAATTTATGAGATTTATATAAAGTTGAACTATGACTGGGCCTTGAATGTGTGAGGCGTGGTGTGAGTTACATGGAACAGTAAAGTTGACCAGATTGGTGTATGGCAATATGGCTATTGTATGTGCCTGTGTTTTATGTAGGTTAGTATTTAGAGTTTGGTATATGAGTCGTACTTTGGAGGCAGTGAGAATGACAACCATGTGCCGTATGATCTGCATACCTGATGGTTTTATGTTTCATTTTCTTTTATTTTATCTTGAGTTCTGATTTGATATATGAGTGTTGGTTGTTAATTTATTTACTGATTGATTTTGCTTGTTAATTTTTTTATAGTTGGATGTTAGAGTCCGTGACAGTCGTCAAAGTCAAACTCTTTGACTTTTTTCAGACCCTTGATGATGGAGCTAGTCTCGAGGGCAATAAGAGGCGGTTGCCACCACAGGTATGAACCTGTGTACCACCCACTCTCCGCAGGGGGCAGAAGAGGGTGTGGTTTTCAACCGCACTTGGCGGTTGTCCAGCGTCGAATGATCATCCCCTCAAGGCGCGTGTCAGCCGACACTTGAGTATCGAATGCGACCCTCGAGATTAACGAGGACCACATGAGTATGGGTACTATATAGTACGCCATCATTGTGACTGCTTGCGTATGCTTGCATTGAGAGTCGATATGAGTTAGCCCTGCATCCGCGCGGTTTTATACTAAGTCTCGTGCGTGATGCCTATCCGATTTCCGCATCGGAGAGTTATGGGATGACTACTAAGGGACTAGGAGTGTTGTCGCGTTGTTGGTTTTGCGTCGTTCTGTATATGTATGTGTATGCGTATGTGTTTTTATTTTTATGTTCTTTAGAGTGGTGTGCGTGGTGTGTGGGATGCGTCCTAGTCGACTGACGACGGGTCGTGTTTGGGACCTCAGCCCCCCAAGGTGTCGGTTCGCGTGCGGGTCCGATAGAGGCGTATTACCCTGCGTGCCCTCTATGCTACAGCGATCGAGAAACGCCCTCGGCTGGTCCACCTTTGCGATTGCAAGTGATTAGCTTTCGTATTGTAAACTGGTAGCTCGGCGGGGATACGCCCGCCGAAGGGAGGTGACAACTCTTGTAAGGTGGAGGCAAGTCGTGCCTCTCGTAGGCCCTATCCTGTCGTAGGGGCTCGCAAGAGGTATGGCTCGCGCACTCAGTCGGAGCGGATTGCGAAAGCTCCACGTATATTCGCGACGAGGATTAAAACCAACTCCTCCGTGACGCGGCGGGGAGGGTCCCGCGCTGCCCTGTGCAGTGCCGGACCGATGCGCTCGACAACGGTGTCCGAGCCGTATGACGCATTTTGCATTTGCCAAGTTTGGCGAGTAAGGGCCTAGTTGCACTACTCGCCATACGCCAAGTTTAGCGAGTAGGCGCCTGATTGCACTTACTCGCCAAACTTGACGAATGCAAAATGCATCAGACGGCTCACCACAACGTCGACAAAAGTTGTGGAGAGTGAATTTCGTTTCCCGGCCTGTGCACGGCGGTTTGTGGAGAGTGGTCCTCGGACCTCTCCACAAAAACAGCTCTCTGGAGAGTGCAGGGCTTCACGAGTCGACATCAGGTAGACAATGGAGAGTAAGTGCAACCAGGCCTCGATTCTATGCGATTATCAGGGCATACTCACACGGCGACTCCAAATCCGCAAAAATGCGGATTTGGGGAAGGGCTGATTTGAGGTTTTGGGCATGGTTCACGTCACACTGCTGTACCTTTTCAGATGGGACAAGGGCGCGGGCGTCTGGAGAAATGGGGATTTGGTACTTGGCTGGTCACACGGTGCCATCCACGAATTGTGCAAGAACTTTTGTGAACGAAATTTTGCCAATTTTTTAAAAAAATGCAAAAAAAAAGGGAATTTGCGGTCACCTCCAGAGGTGACCGCAAAATCCCTTGCTCCCCACGGCTTCCCAGGCCGCTGACAAATGGGCACTGGAATAGTACATTTGCGAATTTGGTAGATCCGGCCTTTTCCCCTTTTTTTTGGGATTTTGGGATTATAGGTCGCCGGGTGAGTATGCCCTCTGCAAATTCCCTTTTTGTTTTTGCATTTTTTTCAAAAATAAATTCCCTTTTTGTTTTTGCATTTTTTTCAAAAATTAGCAAAAATTCGCTCACAAAACTTCTTGCACAATTGGTGGATGGCCCCGTGTGACCAGCCAAGTACCAAATCCCCATTTCTCCAGACGGCCGCGACCTTGTCCCATCTGAAAAGGTACAGCAGTGTGACGTGAACCATGCCCAAAACCTCAAATCGGCCCTTCCCAAATCCGCATATATGGGGTAGTCTTAGGTTACAGAAACATTTGAATTAAATATGCGGATTTGGGGTTGCCGTGTGAGTATGCCCTCAGTTTTTTCACTCTCCACGCATCCGCCACGAAATGTGACGGATGGCGAGTAGTGCAACTAGGCCCTAAGTGCAACCAGGCCAAACTTGGCCTATGGAGAGTAGTGCAACTAGGCCCAAAGAGCAAGACAGCGAGAGGGAGTTTGTTTTTGTGTTGAGATAGAGAGAGGGAGTGCGTTTGTGTGTGCATGTGGAAAAAAGAGAGAGAGAGAGAGAGAGAGAGAGAGAGAGAGAGAGAAAGAGATCTTCGTAATTTTAGTGGAGCCTAATAAGCTGACAGAAGAAGAGAAACCCACAGAAAGGCAGCGAGAAGTTCATAATTATAATGGTAAGAAAGGAGCTTAGTTCGCCAATTATTGTCTGCTCCATCCTGTTTGTCGTTGCGAGCACGTGTGCTGAATTTGATAGCACTCGTTCAAAAGCGTATGAGGAAGTTAGGCTCTCGTATGTATGCCTCGTTTCTCTTTTAGCTTAGCGCGTAGGTTACGAAGGGATGGCGGGATATCAGCTGTCACTTTCGCTGCGACTCGGCTGCGACCGAGTGAGGAGAGATCCCAGTCGCGTTCGAGTTGTGTGTACTCTCACTAACATCCTCAGTGTGCACTTTAGTTGCCCGCCCCGACTCACCGAAGCAGCTGCGACTACGGCGATGCTGCTGTTCCTTTCCTTCTTCCTCATGGGCGATGGACGACCCGTGGGCAGCAGCTCGTCTTTCCCGCCGTCATCATCCGTACACTTTGTCCCTCCCGGAAGAGCACGAAGATGTGCCCACCCTCCTACACACGACAGCAGGGTACTTCAATCGGCCAACACTTGTGCTGGCTTGAAAATTTTCGACGATTCGCTTGCGACCTGCAACGCGGTCATCAACTATGAGGTCAAACCGCCGTTCGTGCAAGGCTCCGACGAGGCGGGGATGGAGTGCCTGTCGCTGGCGCGCAGCATCGTGTTGCATCCGAGCGGAGAGACCTTCTTCTACATCCTCGATCAGATGTGCTCGACGGACAAAGGTATGACAGAACCCATCAGGCGGCGGCTGTCGTTCTACGAATCAATCTTGAGCACGCAGACGCAGGTTGCAGAGGGTAGGTTGATAAGCACGTCGTGGCCCGGGTCCGACGGGGCGGGAGCGCAACTGCTTAACTTCACGTGCGATGACAAGAACTGCACGAGGAACATGGATGTAGTCACTGGGATGGTAATCTCGAGGTCGGGATCTGAACTGATCTTGTCGGGACACTATCTTTCCATTCCGCCGCGATCGTGGCTCAGCGCCCTCAGTACGGAAAACGGTGGGAGGGTTTCTACCCCACTGATTATGAGCTTCCCGGGGGGGATGGCCATTGATCCGTCCATGACGAGTTTGTTCTTCACGAATGACCAGGTGCCTCCTCGTCGCATCTGGTCTTGTCCTGTTTCGCTCAATGAGAACGGCGAGATGTCGAAGGAGGGACCCTCCACTTTCACACCTCTCCCAGTCTTCATGTTCGATCTGTTTCACGAGTGGGATACCTCGTCCCTTTACCTTGGACCTTATAGTTTCCCTCGCGATGGCCGGTGTTTGTACTTCGTCGATCGCAATCCCGGCGGCAGCGTTTGGGCACTGGATCGTTCATCGAACGTGGTCAATCTCGTCGCGGGAAGGGGATTACCCCCGCCGTACTCGCCGCACATAACAAGTAGCAGTAATCAAAGCAGTGGAAACGGTAGCAAGATAGTGATGTCTAACGCTTTGAACGTGTCGTTCGGAGTGCTGTACGACCTCGCTGTGACCGAGGATGGTCTGATCATCTTCGTCTCGGAGAAAGACACAGGTCTTGTGAAGCTCATTGAGCTGGACGCTCCATGTGGAGGCGGGAGGAGAGTCATCGAGGTAAGTGAATACCTATTACGTCCCGGAGCGGGCGTGTATGGGTTGGCCGTTGGGGGAAACAACAGTGGACTCCTCGTCTTGCTGCTTGGTTCCGACGACGGACACGTGTTCCAGCTCAGCATCAACCGGTCAGCTCTGCAGTCCAACAACCTTGGTCCCGGTTCTCCCCACCCTAACCCCGACATAACATCCACTTCCTCCCCCTCTCCCTCCCGCTCTTCTTCCCCTCCACACAACGATGGACAAGCCATGGCCATAGGTCCAATTGCCACCGTAGTGATCTCTGTTGTTCCTGTTGTATTAGCGATGGTGGCCTTCTTCCTTGTCTTTTTGTATCGAGTACAGGTCGCGAGAGCCTGCTGTATGCGACGTTTTGTCCCGGTTCCCGGACTCACGAAGTATCCTTTGGACACAATAAAGGTCGTGACAAACAATTTCGACCAATCTCGACAGGTCGGACAACCGGGAGGCTTCGGCAGTGTCTACCGGGGATTACTGCCGAACAATGATCCTAGTCGAAGGGGGAGGGACGTGGCGGTGGCGGTGAAGGTCATGAGACAGCCATGGACACAGGCTAAGGAAAGCATGTTTCAAGCGGAGATGACCATTCTCGGCCCGTTACATCATGTCAACGTGTGTAACCTGATTGGCTTCTGCGCAGACGAGGGACATCGCATTTTAGTGTACGAGTACAAGGAGGGAGGGAGCTTGAACGACAGACTATTTTCAAGACTTGACGATCGACCAAGGGAAGAAAGAGAAGATGGAGGAGGAGGAGGAGGAGGAGGAGAAGAAGCAGTGCACAATCTTCGCTCTCAACTGACTCTGATAGAGCGAGGAGGAGGAGGAGGAGGAGGAGGAGGGGAAGAAGCAGTGCAGAATCGTCGCTCTCCACTGACTCTGATAGAGCGTGTTGTGGTTGCCCAACAGATTGCCGAGGCTCTTCGTTACCTTCATCACTTAGCTGATCCCCCAGTTATACATCGGGATCTAAAGAGCCAAAACGTGTTGTTGGGAGGAGGACGAGGGAGGGAGATCAAGGCATCCTTAGCGGATTTCGGTCTTGCCAGATTTCTCGAAGCGAAGTTCCTAACGTCAGCCCCCACCGTAATACAGGAAGTGGCGGGAACGGATGGGTGGTTTGCTCCCGAATACGCCCGACGGGGAAAGCTGTCAAGGAAGATTGACGTCTACTGCTTTGGGGTTCTGGCGTTGGAAATGCTCACTGGAAGAAGAGCCGCAGTCCGTGGTCATGGGAAGGGTCAAACTCGATACCTAGTTGCTGACGAGGGTAAACACCTGACCAATGTCGATAAAATCGATATGAAGGAGTTCGTCGATCCTTCTATTAGAGCGGAAATGGATGATCCTGTGATGAGGGAACTAGCAAGAGGTATGATGCGTGTCGCTGCCGACTGTCTGATTGAGGAGGAGAAGGAAAGGCCAAAAATCCAAAGGACAGCTGCCGTGATAGAGTCTCTTCTGGAGCAGACGAGATGACAAGAACCCAAAGGACAGCTTCGGTCATAGAGACGCTTCTGCACCATACCTTAAAGTATGCCAAGGACTCAAGGAGTCCTATGAAGGGATATCCCTTTACGGGTGAGTAATCCGCTGACGATACCTTAGACTATGATGGCTGTACCCCTGAGTGTAGGGTGACGACTATAGCGTTGACGTTTTGCTCTAGAGGCAAGCGCTATGAGTCTAACAACAAGGTCGAACTTTGAGCGGATCGCGTGTCATTCCGTTTAATGGAAGATCGATTTATTGCGATAGCGGAGCCGATGGTTGTAGGACAATGGATGTAGCGGGGGCTTTGGTGTACCGGGTATGGCTATGCGCCAGGCAACAGGATAGCAGTTTAAGGGAACCGCCGGAATCCCGTTATATTGTACACCGATCTCGCCATCATGATGACGTTCGTGCATTTTCGATAATTTATATAAAATAAACGGCATGCAGATGCACACGAGAGAGAGAGAGAGAGAGAGAGAGAGAGAGAGAGAGAGAGAGAGAGAGAGA